CTCCCACTCCCCAAAAAGAACACACACAACATAATTCTAAAAAATACGCAGAGGTATTAACTATAGCAATATAATGAGGTATTAACTATAGCAATATAATGAGTCCTCCTAGTCCAGCCAAAGTCATGGTAACCAGCCAGAGTAGGTAACAGTAATCTCACTTAGAAATTGTTAGTTAACTAGAGTCTTAAAAACTTAACTTTCAAACCTGGCTAATATTTAATGGACACACAGATAAACGTCACCTGCAATCATTTCCCCCTTTACATAAGGGCCCTGAAAAGCTAGAAAAATAAACAATATACACCAAGAGACCAGCCAGCAATAAAATACTATATCCACAAAGATGTAAAAGACAAAAATGGCTTTCATGCCAAATTTTATTTCTTTCTTAATGACCATGCAATTCTAACTTACCATAGGCCAGCAGTCGCATAGAAGGTGCTGGCTCATCTGGATTAATAGTCTTCAAACCATCATTGGCTTTTCTAAAATAAAACCACACAGATAATTTTTTTAAAGAAAAAGTAGTATATCAGGAAAATACATGCAATACTTCAAAATCCAGACACTTAATAAAGATTTTGATAAGGCTATACTCTAAATCCAAAATCCATTAAAAAACAAAACAGCATGAGAGCCTGCAGACTGACAGCCATAATTCCTTCTGCGTGTGGCTCTATAAATTTGCAATTAACCTAAAATCAACCAAAATTTCCAACCCACTTTTACTTTTTATCTAATCTTCACATAAAAGAGAAAAATAAGAAAAATGTAAGTAAACAAGACCTCAGGAAAAAAGCAATACTTCTGACTACTTCCTGAGACTAGTAAATACTTAGTTCAATATCCTATGGTGATCAAGGAGTGGCAGCATGAGCGAGGACCTTGGTCTTTCCCCCTGAAACTTTAACTTAAAGTTGATCAACCATAACTCAACAAAGGCCTCCCTGCTCAATATAGAGGCACGCCTGCAAGATCCACACATTGAAGCACATAAAGGTGGGAAAACGGGAACAAATGGGAAGGCGAGAAGGGAGGAGAGCTCAGATGGCCATGGGTGCGCCCTGCAGTGAGGAGCTCCAGGCCCCAGCCCTCTTGGCCAGAAGAGGGGAGGAAACCAGTAGCAGGGCAATTCCTTCCTTCGGCTGGGAGGAACAGGGAGTGAGCACTGCTTAGGAGTGAGTGGTGTAAACTGGTACTGCCACTATGGGAAACAGTCTGGTGATTCCTCAAAAAATTAAGAGTAGAGTTACCATATGACCTAGCAATCCCTCACCTGGGTATATACCCGAAAAATTCGAAAACATGTATTCACAAAGATATATGCACCCCTAAGTTCATTGCAGCATTCTTCACGGTGGCCAAGACATAGAGACAACCAAAGGGTCCTTCAATAGATGACTGGCTAAAGAAGATGTGGTACATATGCACAATGGACTACTATTCAGCCATAAGAAAAGATGAAATACTGCCATTTGTGACAGCATAGATAGACCTTGAGACTATTACGCTAAATGAGTCATTCAGAAAAAGCTAAGAACCATATGATTTCCCTCAGAAGTGGGATATAAAACTGAAACCCGTGGACACAAAGAGAAATGTGGTGGTTGCCAGAGGGAAGGGGGTGAGAGAGGATGGAGGGTTAAGGGGGACTAATATATGGTGACAGAAAATGATTTGACTTTGGGTGGTGGACACACAGGGCAATATACAGATCTCGAATCAGAAATGTACACTTGAAATCTATATGATCCTATTAAGCAATGTCAACCCCCCCAAACTTTAAAATATATATATCCTATGGCATTTACCACTCTGAATTTTTAAAAAGAATTTTTATTGATTTTTTTTTTTAGAGAGAGAGAAGAACATTTAGCTGTGAAAGAGACAACCACCAGGGGACAGAGATTTCGTTTGACTGTATGTTTCTTGAGTGGGGCAGAGGTCAGAAAGAGGGAGATTTTGATTACCTTAATAATATTCTATTGTTAAAATGCTCCATACAACCACAGATTAATGCTGATCTGTTAAGGATAATGTATTCCTGTGGAAACATAAATTTTATCCTTGACAGCGGTTGGTTGCTTTTTAATATTTCCATGAACTAATGGAAATTTCATATTTAAATCTTTTCTAAGATATGACTTTTGCTTATTAAGCAATGGATTCATGGTTTTCAATTTGTAATTTAAATTGCTTCATTATTAAATATCAATATCTGATATTTAAAGCAACCAGTAAACAATATTGAAAGCTTAGCATATTGGCAAGAACAGATTACCAGAAGTTATTATAAGAGATATTGTTGAGGTTCTGTCTTGGTTACATCCATGAAATTCATGGAGTGGCTTAACTATCTCATGTGCCAAAAGGAAAGCAAGCCAGAAATCCAGGCATGTGCCCTGATGGGGAATTGGAACCGGTGACCTCTCATGCACAGGAGGATGCTCAACCAACTCAGTGACACCATCCAGGGCTGTCACTGAAATTTTTCCTTTTCCCAGAGAGATACATCTTCAACCCCGCTGTGTTGGTACTTCCTTATATCTTCCACCTGGCTATACTTATTCTGCCACCCTCCCTTCTAGTTTCCACTCTATAGAACCTCACTTGTATTCACACTTCACAGTCTATTTCAGGCAGGAATTTCTCAAAGAAACCGTCTTTACCAATGATTGGTAATCACTATCTCTCCTTTCTCTTAAATCCTATAATAATGATGGTCTAAACTCCTATATGGGTATTTAATCATATGGTTATCTGATTCTAACATATTTACATATTTGATTCATATTCCTCCCCTGCCTCCCCTCCCCCCCATACAGGCTTCAGGGGGAAAATAATCAGGGGGGAATATAATGCTACCATCAAAAAAGAAACTAAATGAATACCTGAATGAAAGATTAGGAAATTGCTTACCAAGAAATGATCCTTAGAGGGATCACATCTGTGCTTCTGCTGTGGACAATTCACAAGCTTTCCCTGTTTCCCACACAAATGTGTTAGGAATGCAAGGTGTGGCTGGTCGGTTCCACTGTGGTCACTATTACTAACCCTTGTTGGCGACAATCTCTGCGACAATGATCCCGACTCAAAGGATACTTAAGTTATATTTACTATAAATATCATTAAGTTAAAGGCAATGCAGAGGTCAACCAAAATAGTAATAAGCAGAACGAAAAAGAGTCTTTTGTTTTTCTAGACTCAAAAGAAACAATTTGCCATTTCATTCTCCATTTGGTAGGATCATGAGCCAACGACGGCCAACCTCTTTCTCTGGAGCAGTAACCAACTAAAATGTCCAATTTTCCTGAACAACAAACTTACGTGTCACAGGAATGTTGTTAAAGGCTAATTAAAGCTTAGAAACATAGCAGCAATACTCTCCATCAACAAATGAATAGTATAATGGTATAAAAGAATCGATAAATTTTGGAGGATTTTTGTTTTATATAAATTGCTCAGTAATGAGTAAAAGATTTTTGCTATATGGAATAGCAAAGTACTACGCCAAATATATTAAATATATAAACTCAGAAGTTAATAACCTTCCTCATTCTATATTACAGGTTTGTGGGAGGAAAGGTCTATGGCACTGATAGTTCTCCATGTTAAGATTAGGAAGTGAGAAAGTACAAAACACACCCGTTTCCGTGTTCCTGACAAAACACACGACTGATGGTGTAAGGGACAATGTTCTTATTATGACCATTGCACTGAAGTGGAAAATTCTTTGTTTTCATTTATGATAGTTTCCAAGAACAAAAAAGAAAAAGCCAGATTTTAAAAATATAAACTTTGAAAAACTACTGCTAAATCATTCCATCTTTCTCCTTTGTTCTGATTCTTTTTTTTTTTTTTTTGTACGTGTGTGTAAGAGAGGGACAGTACACAGGAATATGCATATAAATTAAATACATCATTGTAGAAATTTTAAAAAAATATGCCTCTTAAGAAATTATAGCAATGATTGTCTTAACTTATTTTATAAATGAAAAATCTTCTCAAATTACTAAATATTTATGGTATTAGCATTATAAGACAAAATTGAATTAAACTACAAAAACTTCAATCAAGCCAAAAAAAAATTCGAATGTAGGTTTTAGGCAATGTACAGGATCATAACTTGGATTTAAAAAAAAAATTAAGATAGAAAGGGCTGCCACTTGTAGCCAATTTTCACAGTGCAACTCTTTGCTAGGCTGAAAGTTAGAATTCATTCACTCAAGATGAAGTACTGTTCTGAAGACTTGACCATAAAATAAACTTAGGTAGACTGCAATGATAAATATTTTGATTCAAGTCCATAAATGTAAAAAAAAATACTGGTGCAAACTCTCCACATTTTCATCTTGGCATCAACGTCAGATAACAAAAATTTGAGGACGTACTTTAAATGTAAATGTTCAAAATGCACTTTGGCAATGGAACACTTAAAATATTGATTAAGCCAGAGTTCCTATATTTGAAGATAGTGTAGCATAAGAGAAGAATTTAAATGCATCTATATAAATGTTAGCCATGAATAAAGGTATCGTAATAATTCTCAAACTTGTTTTAACACATAACTACATAACATCCAACATTTCTAAAATCTTCTAGGAAGATACTGTACAAAATTCCAAAGGCTTGCTAAAGATGCATTCCAAAGGCTCCTGCTAATACAGGTTTGTTCTAATATCTTATTTGCAAATTTCCAAAGGTCCTTTTGGAGCAGTAAACATGCTCTTTCTGGAAGGCCAAAGAGGCTTCTCTGAACTTGCTGGCATGAGAGCCTGCAGACGGACAGCCATAATTCCTTCTGCGTGTGGCTCTATTCCCTCACTACTCTCATTAAAACGTCAACCAATGTTCAGTGGGTAGCCCTTTGGAACCAAAGGTTAGTACCAATAAAGAGTTACATGTCAGCCTGGCCGGTGTGGCTCACTGGTTGAAACGTTTACCTATGAAACAGGAAGTCACAGTTTGATTCCTGATAAAAACATTTTTTTTAAAAAAGTTGCATTTCAGGTGGGAACTGTGAAGAAATAAGAAGATACCCTGAGTCCTAAAGGCTTACTAAATCCATGTCTTAAACTGTGAAAATCTATTCAAAGTTTTGCTTCAACATGAGAATCATCGTATGTGAAAATGCAAAACCAACATGAGCCAAAGATGTTGCTGACAGGAAACCCAGAGCAGCCTTGGACGCTGAGGTCGGAAAAGAACGGTGCCCAGGCAGAGAGGGAAGGGCCACCGGCCTCCGCACCACTGTGATCACAGGGTGCTCTGCTGGGTCCGGAGCACGGGCAGGCTCCGGGCACTGACCAAGGGGACATGTCCACTGACATAAAAGAACACGGGCCGGAAAAGGTTTGGAAGCCACACACGTCTTCCAAGGACTAGGTCAGTGACGGCGAACCTATGACACGCGTGTCAGCGGTGACACGCAAACTCATTTTTTTGGTTGATTTTTCTTTGTTCAATGGCATTTAAATATGTAAAATAAATATCAAAAATATAAGTCTTTGTTTTACTATGGTTGCAGATATCAAAAAGTTTCTATATGTGACACGGCACCAGAGTTAAGTTAGGGTTTTTCAAAATGCTGACACGCCGAGCTCAAAAGGTTCGCCATCACTGGCGTAGAGGGACATGGAGAGTCCCTCTACCAGGAGGGATAATGTATTCCTGTGGAAACATAAATTTTATCCTTGACAGCGGTTGGTTGCTTTTTAATATTTCCATGAACTAATGGAAATTTCATATTTAAATCTTTTCTAAGATATGACTTTTGCTTATTAAGCAATGGATTCATGGTTTTCAATTTGTAATTTAAATTGCTTCATTATTAAATATCAATATCTGATATTTAAAGCAACCAGTAAACAATATTGAAAGCTTAGCATATTGGCAAGAACAGATTACCAGAAGTTATTATAAGAGATATTGTTGAGGTTCTGTCTTGGTTACATCCATGAAATTCATGGAGTGGCTTAACTATCTAATGTGCCAAAAGGAAAAGAGTACATTTATCATTCTACTAAACCTTACTACATAATCAAAGCCAATCTCATGACTGCCTGAAAGAAAACATGATTCTAAGTTCAAGCTGTGTTTCAAATCAGTGGTTTCATGTGACGGCCTCATGAATCCTAGATGACCTGCTTTCTGGCCTCGAGTTCCCTAAAGGGGAACTCATGCCCATAGCTTTTTTTTTTCCAAATGTGTTTTTCTATTACAGATATGAAATCACATGAAGTATCACAAAATGAACGCTTATTTTCCCTAATACAATCAAAATAATGGTAGGCATAATCTCTATAAGAATTATTTATTTTAGTCGGTGGCAAAGGGAAGCTGGTATAAATTCTAAGGTGAAAAGTTTTTGTTGTTGTTTCAATGACTATTTCTCTAGCTTATTTTTCTTCATAGCAATTATCTTCTAATACACAATGAATTACTCATTCATTTGTTGCCTGTCACTTTCCATTATAACATAACCTCCACGAGGACAGAAACTGTCTTTTAATCATGATATATTATTCTCAGTGCCTAGAATAATGCCTAGCATTGAGTAAATTATCAAAAAAAATATTTTTTGAATGAGTGAATGAAGGAAGGAGTATCCACAAGCTAAAATACTCAATATTTTCAGGTTAGAAATGTTCTCATCCTTTGGCTACAAACTGTGCAGGAAGGCATGGATCCTCAAAAACCACCCTGCATTAATGTTTCAAATTACTAAAACATACTTCAAATTAACTGGGGAAAAGGGGTAAACAAATGTTTCACTTACTTTAAAAGTCTATAATATGCAAACCGAAACATTTCCTGGATAAGGACTGAGACTAACACTCCAAAGATCAGCAGATATTTCTCTATTGGTCCATCTCTGTTGTCAGTAATGGCTCTTGCCACGAACCAGACAAAGGAGGAAAACAGTAGCGATATCAACCAGAAGAAAGCTCTGAAATTGGGGGGAAAGAAGGGGGAGAAGTCACACGTAAGCATAAGTACAGGATTAATTTTTTTAAAAAAAATAATTACGTGCTCGTAAAGTGATGTTCTGGATCCACTGTTCTTAATCAGTGGGTCAGTGGTGCATCTCCTCTGTTGAGATGAACATGTGATCCAAAAGGAATTTAGGGTTTTCCCTAACAATCACTCGTCTTCAGTGACCCTGCTATTTACTAAGTACATCTGCAGACTATCTGCCAAGCACTGTCTAGCTGGAAATATTTGTTATTCCTCCTAAATGATGCTTTGCTCATTGATGTGCAAATATGTCTTTCCCAGAAAAAAAGTCTGTATCTATTAATAGAGTGATTGGTATAAAATCCAGACGTTGAAAGTCTGCGCTCTGATCTCGATCAGTTTCCCAGGCCTGGTTTTTGCAACATTCCTGTGGGCTCTAAGGATTATAACAAGCTTTACAAACCCTCTGCCCAGTCTCTATGGCTTTTTAAGTGATGTGATGCAGCACTCTCAACACAGGTGTGAGGGGTGAAGAGACCCAGAAAAAGTGCGCATCCCTGGCCTAGCCTGGCTGTTTCTCCTGGTGCCGAGCGAGTGAGTGAGACTCGAGTGTGTAGGGTACGTGGGAGCCTCAGCAAGAGCTGCCGGACAGAGGAAAACCAGGCTGTGACCATAGTCGCCGCCAGAGTTCGGTGTTGACCAAGCTCCCGCGAAGAGGCGCACTGACAGGTGTTTCTGTGTCGGTGCAGGTTGGATCCCGCCCCCTGGACATTCCCATTCAGCGGACCTGGGGTAGGGGCCGGGCATCGAGATGTTTGAAAGCACCAGATGCCCGGGCTCTTAACCCCTTTGGGATGACAAAATCTGAAGTTAACTTGGGACGCCTGTCTGCAGAAAAATAAAAGATGCGTATTTGAACGTATCCACATTTTTTTCATGCAATTTAAGTGGTTTCACGACTCACTACAGCCCACCCACGGGCCCTCAGCAAAAACTCAGGAGCCCAGTTCCAGGGTGTTTGAGACCCACAGTGTGAGCTACTTCCCCCGAGCCCGCCTCGGGGGACGGGAGTTCTCGTGCCTCTCCTGCCGACCCTCAGAGGCGGGTCTCGGCTCTCCCCGACTCCACCCTTCCCTCACTACTCTCATTAAAACGTCAACCAATGTTCAGTGGGTAGCCCTTTGGAACCAAAGGTTAGTACCAATAAAGAGTTACATGTCAGCCTGGCCGGTGTGGCTCACTGGTTGAAACGTTTACCTATGAACCAGGAAGTCACAGTTTGATTCCTGGTCAGGGCACATGCCCGGGTTATGGGCTCGATCCCCAGTGTGGGGAGTGCAGGAGGCAGCCAATCAATGATTCTCTCTCATCACTGGTGTTTCTATCTCTCTCTCCCTCTCCCTTCCTCTCTCTGATCAATAAAAATATATTTTAAAAAAAGTCAGTTTCCCAGGCCTGGTTTTTGCAACATTCCTGTGGGCTCTAAGGATTATAACAAGCTTTACAAACCCTCTGCCCAGTCTCTATGGCTTTTTAAGTGATGTGATGCAGCACTCTCAACACAGGTGTGAGGGGTGAAGAGACCCAGAAAAAGTGCGCATCCCTGGCCTAGCCTGGCTGTTTCTCCTGGTGTCGAGCGAGTGAGTGAGACTCGAGTGTGTAGGGTACGTGGGAGCCTCAGCAAGAGCTGCCGGACAGAGGAAAACCAGGCTGTGACCATAGTCGCCGCCAGAGTTCGGTGTTGACCAAGCTCCCGCGAAGAGGCGCACTGACAGGTGTTTCTGTGTCGGTGCAGGTTGGATCCCGCCCCCTGGACATTCCCATTCAGCGGACCTGGGGTAGGGGCCGGGCATCGAGATGTTTGAAAGCACCAGATGCCCGGGCTCTTAACCCCTTTGGGATGACAAAATCTGAAGTTAACTTGGGACGCCCGTCTGTAGAAAAATAAAAGATGCGTATTTGAACGTATCCACATTTTTTTCATGCAATTTAAGTGGTTTCACGACTCACTACAGCCCACCCACGGGCCCTCAGCAAAAACTCAGGAGCCCAGTTCCAGGGTGTTTGAGACCCACAGTGCGAGCTACTTCCCCCGAGCCCGCCTCGGGGGACGGGAGTTCTCGTGCCTCTCCTGCCGACCCTCAGAGGCGGGTCTCGGCTCTCCCCGACTCCACCCTTTTCCCCTCAAAGCCCAAGGTCGAGCCGTGTGGTGGGGAAGCCTGGGGTCGGAACCCCCCGCGGGGGAGGGGAGCCCCGGTTCCGGGTTTCCCAGCGCAACCGCCTCACCCGACGATGAGGAAGATGATGCGCAACGGGTCCGTGGCGATAGTGAAGATGTAGAGGGCGAGCGCGGGCCCGAAGGCAATGAAGGCGCAGCCGAAGAACACAGCCGCCGTCATGGCGACCCGCGCCCGCGGAGCCAGGCAAAGACGCCGAGTGCTT